GATATGAAAAGTGTTATTGTCATTCGTATTATTATCAGTTGTTTCCCATTACTGTTACTTACATTACGATTCGTACTATTATTACTCTTCCTCCTCATCATCCTCTTCCTCCTCGTCCTCCTCCTCCCCCTCCTCCTCCGCCTCGTCCTCATCCTCCTTCTCTACTTCTCCTCATACCTAATTTCTCCCTGTCGCACCTCGTGGCCTGTTTTTAGGGTGGGCCTGGCCTTTCGATTGAGACTTCCTCACCAGTTATGACTCTGAAGCTCTGAAAGTCACAACAGCTTCCCAGATGGAGGGCGGGTGGTTTTCCATATGTGGCTCTCGCCTTAGCGCTCCGCGCACGTTCGATTTAAACATTTGCATGAGTTTTACGGATTGAGGGCGGGTCGTCAAATGTGGTTCTCGCCCTAGCGCCGCGCACATTCGTCATAACAAATGCAGGAGCTTCACTGATTGATTGCGGGTGGTTTTCAGAATGTGGTTCTCGCCTTGCCGCCGCGCACATGCGTTTTAAAAAATGCGAAACCTTCACGGATTGAAAGCCGTTCCTTTTCTAAATGTGGCTCTCGCCTTAGCGCCGCGAACATTCGTTGTTAAAAATTGCAAAAGCTTATCGGATTGAGGGCGGTTCGTTTTCGAAATGTGGCTGTCGCCTTAGCGCCGCGCACATTCCTTTGAAAAACTTGCAAGAGCTTCACGGACTGAAGGCAGGTGGTTTTCAACATGTGGCTCTCGCCTTAGCGTTCCGCGCACATTCGTTTGAACAAATTGCAAGGGTTACACGGATCGAGGGCGGTTCCTTTTCAACATGTGGCTTTCGCCTTAGCGCCGCGCACACTCGTTCTAAAGACTTGCAACAGCGTCACGGATTCCCTTGACCCACGTACCAGAAATGATGTTTTGGAAGGATTCTGGATTATGCGGGTGCAACAATTATGTTGGTTCGCTGTGTTGAGGTCCCACAAATGACGCTCTGGTACGATTCAGGATCGTCAAGACGAAGCAACCAGGTTGACACGTGGCGCTGAAATCCTCCCGAGAACAATGTGTTGGCAAGCTTCAAGATCTTCACACGGTTGTCTTCCAACGAGGCAGTTCCCTCAATGAAAATGAACCGTGTAAGGGGCCTATGAAGAGGGAGCTTGGAGGGAAGGCTAATTCCAACATAATTGATGACTCTTGGGTTTGCACTGGTCCTCCTCCTCCTCCTCCTCCTCCTCCTCCTCCTCCTCCTCCTCCTCCTCCCCCTCCTTTTGCTCATCCTCCTCATCCTCCTCCTCTTCCTCTTCATCATCCTCCTCTTCCTCCTCCTCCTCGTCCTCCTCCTCTTCCTCCTCCTCCTCCTACTCCTTCCCCTTCTCCTCCTTATCCTCCTCCTCCTCTTCTGCCTCCTTCCTCCTCCTCCTCCTCCTCCTCTCCTCCTCCGCCTCCTCCTCTCCCTCCTCATCCTCCTCCCTCTCTCTCCTCCTCCTCCCTCCTCCTCATCCTCCTCTCTCCTCCTACTCCTCCTCTCCTCCTCCTCTCCTCCTCCTCCTCCTCCTCCTCCTCCTCCTCCTCCTCCTCCTCAGAACACTAGCACTGTCAATAAAGTGTGACGGCATTCCGTGGGGGGGAATGTTACTGGCTCGCTTTCTCGGGGTCAGAATCCGAGAGGCCCTTCGCGCAAAATTGCTACCACAAGCGGCTCGCGATGAGCAAAATAAAAGGGAGCGGAACTGGGTCCAAGAGGGACGAGCAACAAGCAGCCGAGAAAATCAACCGTCAATTCGGTCCCTTTGGTCAGCTGGTGCCCCACATCCGGTTGTGATTCACGCAGTGCACGCCATGGTGCTGGTCATTCTGGTAGCAGTCCAAAGGCGTGTGATAGTATCTTAATGACAGTGGTATACATCCGTCGGCGTTCTGAATGAAGTGTAGTTCGCGTTGTATATGCTTGTGTTCGTCATCGCATGTCCCATCATGGGTTGCCGCACCAAAGAGGCCGACGCTGCCAAGCACTGGGGAACCTGGAACATGACTGGGACCTGTTGCTAGTCTTCCTTGGTTTCCTCTGAATCGGTTTCTGAGAGTGGGAGGGCCGCTTTGCAGAAACAAGCAAAGAAAACGCCACCATGTTTCCTGAACGACTGCGGTTCCTAGGACATTGCCCCCCCCCCCCCAAAAAAAAAGGGAAAGGGTTTAGCAGCGGCGGTCCTCCAGTTGCCCAGGTCATCCCAAACCTGCAGCACTGCATGCCCTGCTCTGTGTGTGCATGTGACACCTCCTCTTCCAATGGCCAGGGCATCCACTACACCCGGAGCATGAATAATCAAAAAATCGGTGGGTTTCCTGGAAGGGGCCCCAAAAGCATACTGGTGGATGGTGACGCGGTGAGCCCGCTCCATCCTACAGAGCCTCATGACCGGATCCAAAAATCAAGAGCTAAGGGCCCCAGGGGAACCCCAGGGCTCCGAGGGGTGTTCCATGATAAACGCTACCCCGAGACGCCAGCACAAAACAACGATCTCCAGTGGTCCTGAACACGAGGCTGCCAAGCGACAGCTGCGCATGTTCACGTTCCCCAAACTCGTCCTGAAGCCGTCTGGTCTCTGCCCTGGATCTCTGCGCCGAGCGCCGAGCCACTGACCACGTCTCGCATGGAGGCTCAGCGATCACTGCGGCGATGATACATTCGCAAATGAGCCTGCTCCAGAAGGCCACCGTCCGAGAGCGTGTGAGATCTCCGTAATCTGGATCACTGATAACATGAATATTCAGAACTATCCGCCCAGCAGGATGAGAGCGCAGCGCCTTGCCCAACCGGTCCTGGATGTCGCCTGACCTTCTGTAGCCTGAAGAGAGGTGGAGCACATACATCTACCTCCTTGCAGGGGGTTTTTTGAATGAGAATGCGGGGTGAAGGGGAGGGGAAGGAGCAACGATCAACCGTTGAGTTCGTGCTAAGGAAGCAAAAGAACCTGGCTTACAAACAGGGGGTCCAAAGGTGCGAACGGGTGGCTCCTTGGCCTTATGACCTTGACATCCTGCACGCCTGTTGGCCGCTGTCTGCTGGCGCACGAGGTCGCTGTTGACTTGTAGCTCCATTTCGGTAGCTCGTAGCCCCGAGGCCCACAATTCCCTCGAGCACGTTTTCGCCTGCATGCGGTGTTTGTGCAATCCACCAGGCTGATGAAAGCACTCGAGACAAACCCGGCAAACTGCGCCTCTCCCTCCCCCTTTTACCCCCCTCTGCACGAGGCCGACCAGCTATAGAGCTGGGCGCAAGCTGTATATGCAAATTGCACCCGGCATCCTGGATGAAGGGCAGACTGTGGACCTGTTGAGGCCCAATAACACGACCGGCGTGCTGACCCCCCTACTTCGCGACAACAAATACATCGCGCGTTCGTCGCCCGTGCGCCGCCCCCGCGTCGGCCGCCGAAAAGGCCAGCCGTCCTCGCGAACGAGCACGTCGCCCTCGCAGGGGAGCACGTTGCCGAGTGCGTCGCCAGCGTGGCGGGCACCCACGGGGCGGATCGCGTCGGCGGCGAGGAAGAATGGCACACGCACAAAGCGTTCGGAGCTCCGCGCGGACTTCTCGACTCTGCGCCGACATCTCCCCCCGTGGCGGTGCCTCCAGCGCGCCGCCCCTCTCGGCCTCGGGGTGCCTTCGGGCGGCTGCGCCTCGGCAAGAGCGCTCCCGGGGTGCGAAGCGGGGACTTATCCAGATCCACCGCCTGGGAATCGACGTCCTGGTGCCCCAGCGGGCGGTGGATATGGATAGATTTCGGCCCCGGGAAGCCCGAACATGTCCACATCCACCGCCTGCCGAGGCTCCGGAAACTGACCCTCCAGGCGGTGGTCATGAATAAACTCCCGCCTCTGAAGGGGCACCCTGCTCGTCCCGAGTTGCCGCCAGAGCGCCGAGCTGTGGCACAGAAGCTAGGCGCAGCGTTGAGGGGGGAATATTTGGAGTCCCGAAACGGTGCGGTGACAGACCGTGCGGTGACCTCGGAACCCCAAGAGACCTCACCGCACGGTCCGTCACCGCACGGTCTTGGGACCCTGGAGGCCCCTGTCGCCCGAGACATCCTCGGAGAGGGGCTCGAGCCCCAAAATCCCGAATCCCCGAATCCCCACCGATTCACCACACGATGTGGCCACCACCCCGCTTGGGGACCCCCGAGAATAGTCCTGGCCCAGTGGCAGCACAGGGTTGCCCCGGGCTGCGGCCGTCCCGAGCGCGGGGAGCGACGCAGGGGCCCGGGCGGCGACCGAGAGCTACTCCAAAGTTCGTAAGAGATGGGAGGGGGCCACCACCACCACCCGACGAGCAAATTTTAGACCCCCCCGCCCAGACCAGCCATGAGAGGACGGCCTTCTGCCCAGACCCCCCAGAACCCTCCGAGACGGTTCGAATCAGACCCCTTCAAAAGATCAGGCCTCCCCCGCTCGATTACGGAGCGGGGAGTATCCGTCCTCCTTCTCCTCTCCTCCGTCGTGCCGCTCTTCGGAGTTTGAGAGGCTGTGGAGACATCGCGAGGCATGACGGACACCCCATGGAAAGTGCCTACGGACGCAGAAGCAGGTGCGCACGGACGACCGACCAGGCAGACATCGGCCTTGCAAAACGGCTGCGGAAGCTGGGGGATGAGGACGGGGAGGACGAAGAGGACTTACGGAACCCGCTACAGGAGGGTGGGCGCCTAGACTCAGGGAGATGTTCCAAATGTGCGCTCCTCTAGGCTTGAGGGTGCCTGAACCCGCGGTGGGCCTGTTGGGACCAGCGGGCTGAATACGTCAATCAGCAGCCCGTGCCCAACCGTTGGCATTGGTGCGGCAAGATGGGCTGATGGAGAAGGAAGAGGAGGAGAAGGAGGAGGAGGAGGAGGACGAGAAGGAGAAGGAGGAGGAGGAGGAGGAAGAGGAGGAGGAGAAGGAGCAGCAGGAGGGCAGGATGCCAGGATGCGGCCGAGGAGCAGGCGAAGGAGGTGGCCCCGCGCCCGACGCCCGGCGGCCTGTCTTTCTGGTCCGCCTCGGACAGCTGCATGTGCCTGTCGAGGGTGTTGAGCTCCGACCTGCGCCGCCGGCGCCCGCGCGGCCGCCCACCGCCCCCCGCCCGCCCCCCCCCCAGCGGGAGACGGCCGCCGTTGCGCCACTCCCGCCCTGTGTTCCTCCTCCTTATCGTCCTCTCCCGCTCATCCTCCTCCTCATCATCCTCGTCCTCACCCTCACCTTCACCCCCATCGCCATTATCATCATAACCATCATCATCAGCAGCATCAGCATCATCATCATCATCAGCATCATCATCATCATCATCAGCAGCAGCAGCAGCATCGTCGTCGTCATCATTGTCATCACCGCCGCCGCCATCATCAGCATCATCATCATCAGCAGCATCCGAATCAGCATCATAATTATCGTCAGCAGCAGCATAAGCATCATCGTCGTCATCATCGTCGTCGTCATCAGCATCATCGTCATCGTCACAAGCAGCAAAAGCAGCAACAACAGCAAGTTCATCTTCGTCTGCAGAATCATCAGTAATATCAGCATCACCGTACGATCGACATGGGCACGGAAAGAATGGGCACACAGACCAGCAGCAGTCCCTCTCCTGTTTTTGTTCTAAGAGGGGACGGAGGGGGAGGAAAGGTAACGAGGCTCGGCTCGGGTGAGAAAGACTGCCAGCTTCCCAACTGATGGGAAGGGGCCTCTGCCACGCGCGAGCTGCAGGCCGACAGCATATCCTGTTCATGTTGAACCAGGTTCGCTGTCCGTGTCGCCGCGGACGCTGTCCACTTGAGACAGAAGGCCGGCCTGACCAACAGTGGCCGCTGTCGGTTGTGGGTAACATCTGCTGTTGGGCATCGTACGCATGTTGTCCGTACCAAGTTCGGGCGTCCAAGAAGTTAGCGGATCGGCTTGCGTAGCTGATGTTTCCCCGGGCGCCTCCTGGCGTCGGAGGCGCCAATCCACCGAGGAACGCGCCTGGCGGCGGGGCCGAAACCAGCTGCATGTATCCCCCCCCTTCCCAGTATTCCCCCCCCGTTCGTCCGACCCGATCCCGAGTCATCTGCGCACCACCCTGCTCGGGCTGACGTCAAGTGGGGGCAGGGGCCGAGGTGGGGCTGGGAGGAAGACCGCTCCAAGCGGCCCCTGGAAGAAGGAAATGCGCACGTCCGACTGGGCTCGTTCCCTAGCCCCACCTTGGGACAAGCCCCCCTCTGCGAACCCCCGACCTGCAGTGATGCCACTCCTAAGACGAGGGCAGGCTCCAGACAAAGTCGGACCGATACCAATCGGAGGTCTCTGAGAATCGGCGGGTTTGGAGGATGCATCGGGCGCCGCGGCCGTTTCAGAGCGCTCCGAAGCGCTCTGGAACGGAGGAGGAGGAAGAGGAGGAGGAGGAGGAGGAGGAGTAGGAGGAGGAGGAGCAGCAGCAGGAGAAGGAGGAGAAGGAGGAGGAGAAGGAGGAGAGGAGGAGAAGGAGGAGAAGGAGGACGAGCGGGAGGAGGAGGAGGGAGGGAGGAGGGAGGGGAGAGGAGGAGAGGAGGAGGAGGCGGAGGAGGAGGAGAACGAGGAGGAGGAGGAGAAGGAGGAGGAAGCTCTGCCGCAGGCTGCCGGAGGCGCCCTGGTGAGCAGCGGGGCACCGCGAGGCGCGACGGGGCAGCGGCGTGAGAGCGCGGACAGCCTGCCCCAGTCGAAGATCGACACTAGCGCCTTCTTCCGCACCGTGTCCTGAAGCTGGCTCGGCACAGTCGGGGCCGAGAAGGAGGAGGAGGAGGAGGAGGAGGAGGAGGGGAGGAGGAGGAGGAGGAGGGGGAGGAGGAGGGGTGAGGGGAGGGGGAGGAGGGGGAGGAGGAGGAGGAGGAGCAGGAGAAGGAGGAGGAGGAGGAACCCCAGACTCGGCGGCGAGCAAGGGGGGGAAGTGAGAAGGAGAGGGCCTTCTCACGAGCGCGCCGCCGCGATGCGCCTCGTCGGCGCCGACTTTTCAGAAGCCCTCCGGCCTTCCGAAAAGTGTTTTCTCTGTTTTCGGGGAAGGCTGACAACACTTCTCAGGAGGCTGGGGGGCTTCCGAGCCTTCTGAGAAGGCCCGCCCCGCCTCGCTTCCCCCCGGGCTCGCCGCCGATAGACGACCTCGAGCTGACAGCGCGAGAGGCCTCCCTCCATGCTTGTTGCACAGTGCACGAAGCATGGAGGGAGGCCTCTCGCTGTTTCTGGCCCCCAGGGGCCCTCGCGGGGCCCGGGCGCCGTCCACAAAGCAGCTCGGGACCAGAAGCCCGCCCCCGCCCAGACATCCGGCGGCTCCCATCGTCGTCGACGCGTGGGCCCCAAGAGAGGTGCGGACCGCTTCCCTTAAGTCGGGCGTGTCCTCCTACAGGGGGATGTTCGACGAAAAATTAAAAGTACCCCAAAAATGGTCAAAAGGTGCCCAAAAATATTCAAAAAATAGTCCCCAGACTATTTTTGACTATTTTTGAACATTCCCCCTGTAGAGGGACAGGCCCCACTTAACGCTTCTTCCCTGGGGCCGCTTTCTCCGTCCCGAGCCGATCTGACGCTCCCGAGGCCCAGCGAGAGGCCGAACACGGCTCACAGCCGCCCGCTCCGACTCTTGCCGGAGCGGGCGTATCTCTGGGCCGGGACATCGCTGTCGATCGACACCGCGCGCGCCTGTGGCCATGTCGGCCACGACACGCGGCGCGGCGCGACGGGGGGCAGGCAGCCCACCCACCAAGCACCTCCCATCCAAGGCCTCCCGTTTTTTTTTCCGGGGGGACCACGAGGGGGTCGATCGAGTGGCGCCGCAGGTGCGGCGCCCGCGCGCGCTCTCCCACGCAGTGCGCCCGCGAGACTTCTGGGGGCCACGCCTCGGGAACACGCACGACGTCGGGGGCCTCGGGCTGCGGAGGCCACCCCGAGGCGGGCCCCCGAGCGCCCGGCCTGCCCCCGGCACGACGCGGGAGGCCCGCAGCGCCACGGACAGGACACGGGGCGGCACCCTGGGCCGACAGCAGGGGCTGGCAGTGGGGCTGCGACGGCGGCCCCCTAGAGATCCGACGCTCCGACGGCAAAATCGAGGCGAGCGGGCGGCTTCGGGCCGTCTTCGACCTCCGGGGGCCCTCGCCGGGCCCGCTGGAGCGGCAACAGCAGCGGCTCGGGACGAAAAGCCGCCCCAATACGTAAGGGAAGCGGCCTGGACCTCCGGGACCCACGCATGGACCAAGAGTGGAGCAGCCGGAGGCCTGGGCCTGCAGAGGGCGCCCAGGGCTGCCTCGGCGGGGCGTCGGCGGGTGCCGCCAGGAGGCGCGCACGCAGGGCCGCCGAGTGCTCTGCAGCTCCTCCATCGGACGCCCGCGCGCGCAAGAAACTCCCTCGACGCACGGCCGCTGAGGGCACCGACCGCCAAGCACCTTTTTTGGGGGGGGGGGGGGGGGGGCGCTTTCATAGGGCGATGAAGTCTATACACGGCCACCGCTCCCTGGCCAGGCCCCTCCTGAACCCGGCAGCGGTGTATACGCCACGCCCTCCTGGCTTGGCCAGGGAGGCGTGCGTACACACGGCCCCCCGGGTGCAGGATTGGCCTGGCCAGGGAGCAGTGGAAGTGTATGGATTGCGTCGCCCGATCTCACGCTTCCGCGCCAGCTTCCCCCAGACTTCCGCCGCCGCCGACGCCGCCCGTGCGCCTCCGCCGTGTCTCCAGGCCCGGCGTGCGCCGCCGGCATCCCCCAGGCCTCTGGCGACCCGTGGCATTTTCCACGGCGGGGCACCCCTGACATCCGCGGCCCCAGAGGTCCCGAGCCCAGACCCTGGCGGCGCGCAAACGAAGATGAGGATAGGGGGAAAGGGTTTTTTTTGGGAAGGAGGCCGCTTCTTGGAAGGCGCCGGCCCTGCATCTACGGACGAGGCCCGCGCCTTCTGAGAGGCAGGGGTGGCTCTAAGGAGCCCTGCCCCCTCTGCCTACCCCCAGCTCTGCGCGTGGCCGGCTTCCCTCGGGGGTGGCGTTGCGTCCTAAATCCATGGCAGCTCGCCCGATGGCCCGCAAGTGGCCTCCGAGAGCCGGACTCGACGAAAAAACGCGGACTGACAAATCGTGGGACGCAGAGGGACATACTGGTACTACGTGCCCTCCAGGGAGGCACGAGTCCGACCCGAACCTGTAGTGCAACCATCTTGTGGCACGCCGCTGCCCGAGCGGTACGGCCCGAAAGCGCCCACCACGGAGCCCATGCCATCCGGCGCGCGCGTCGCCTCCTGGGAGGACGCGCGCACACGTGGCATCGGTATGCCGGGGCGACGCCGACCCATCACACCGTGTCGGATATCTGGGCCTGAAGCTCTCGACCCTGCCCCCCAGGGCTGGCAGTTTTCGCCGCCCGCGGGCCGGCCTCTTTTTTTGCGGACCCCCCCGCCCTGGGCCCGAAGAACAGCGGCTCTCCCAGCTGCCGAGGTCCCTGCGTCCGCGCACGCGCCTCCGACCATGACTTACGAACGCCCCTCTGGCACGCACCCCAGATGCGGACGACGCAAGCGTGTAGCTCCGTGGCATTTCGAGGCCACCCTGTGGCCACAGTCGTAAGCGTTGTGGCTTGCTGTGAGCTCCCAAGGTTTCTCTAGGCCCTGAGGGGCCCCAACGGCCGCCCACCACGCGACGGCACGACCCAGCGTCGTCCGCCAGCGTCCGCCGCCGCCACACCCGAAATGCGGAAAAATGAAGGGGCCCTGGGACACACAAATAAATAGACACAAATAACATGATTCCCCATATTTTCACATATCTTCTGGGTTTTTGTCTTCCCCCCACTTCCCATATTTTTCCCATATTTCCTGGGGAATCGACGATTCATTGTGTCTGCGTGTTTTTTTCCCTCCTCAAAAAAGAGGGACTGGCGAGCAAGAGGGAGGGAGGGAGGGGGAGACCCGGCAGCCAGAGCGCCCCTACTCCAGATTTCGTAATAAAGGGAGGGGGGTCTCATTTCGGGGGGGTCTCTTCCAGGCTATCTTGGAGTGCCTGCGGGGGTCTGGGGACGATGTTTTGGAGGGTTCTCCCACGGGGGAGGTCTGAAATGGCTTGTCTTGGAGGGTCCAGACCCCCTCCCTTTTATTACGAAAACTGGAGTAGTCATCCTCCCCCCCGCGCGAGGAAGCGCCCGCGATGCTGCTGCTCGCGGAGCTGCGGGGCTGGGCTCCAGAGTCCGCTCCTATCGAGCCCGGCCAGCAGCGCAGCCCGGCCAGGACCTCGAGGCGAGACCGGCCGTGGCGCGAGCGCTGCAGCGAAGCGCAGGTCCTTCAGTTATGAGACGCGCGCTTTTGAAGGGGCCCTGGGACACACAAATAAATACACACAAATAAAAATATCCCCCATATTTTCCCATATTTTCTGGGTTTCCCCCCATTTCCCATATTTCCTCATATTTTCTGGGGAATCGAGGATTAATTGTGTCTGTGTGTTTCTTTTCCTCCTGAAGTTATGAGACGCGCGCTTTGCCACTATCGGCGGCGAGCGAGGGGGGGAAGTGAGAAGGGGAAGGCCTTCTCAGAAGGAGGCGGGGCTTCCCAGAAGGCCCCGGGCCTTTTTGAGAAGCCGTCCCGGCCTGCGGGGAAGGCGTCAAAAACCTCTCGGAAGGCTGGGAGACTTCCGAGCCTTCTGAGAAGGCCCGCCCCTTCTCACTTCCCCCCTTCGCTCGCCGCCGAGAGTTACAGGGGGTCGAGATGCGCGCTGGGTGACAGACGCTCCTGCGTTCGGCACTTGGGGCGGGGGTACGCGCCAGTGACCAAGTGCAAATCGTCGCCAGCCGAACGGCGAGGAGGATTTTCATGATCATCGCAACGGTGATCATGATGCTCCCTCCATGATGACAGCGCGCAGTTCACGATGGCCGAGTTGACGGTGTTCGCCCTGGACGCGCTCATCGTGACCACGGTCACGGCGCGGCTGACCATCAAGGTAAAGATCCCGACCATGATGAGGGTCATGAAAATGATGATTGCCCATTGTGACGATGCCAGTCCCCCACCGCCCTTACTCCTGCGCTCGTAGCTGCGGACACGAGTTCTCCTGACTACACCTCGACTACCCCATCATCAGCGCCACTGCTCTCGGGCCTCGATGCCGAAGGAGCTTTGGGCGAGGGGCTCGATGGCGATACTTGGGCATGTGAACTGCTAGCGGAATAGGGAGGGATGGGGGGGGGGGCACACGGAAGACGGAAGCTCGGAGCTGGGGCAGCAGCAGAGTGATATCGTCGGCCGACAGAGGGGGAGATTTAGGAAGCGACAAATTAATAGAGGCATCTGCATATATTAATATGTGAGGAGCGGGGGATTGGAGGCCAAGACGGAGAAGGGAGTCTTCGGGCATTGGGTGGCAACTCACCTTACTCACAGCAGACCAGAGATGGGGGCATTGCATATAGTGAACCTGGGAATCGGCACAACTCACACATCCGAATCTGCAGAAAGAGGAGTGGTGCTGAAAACGACTGTCCGTAGTCCCGTCGCCACATAGAGTTTTTACACATCGCCATGCGCCAAAGCCATCCCGTTTACTCCTCCTCCTCCTCCTCCTCCTCCTCCTCCTCCTCCTCCTCCTCCTCCTCCTCCTCCTCCTCCTCCCCCTCCTGGCGAAGACGCGCTGGGACGGGTTAGCGCTCTTCTGGCTTATGGAAGTGCCAGTCACGCCGAAGCCAGAGAGACGTCGAAGACCGGGGGAAACGCCCTGTCCACCGAAGGGCCAA